AAGTTGAGTGAATTCTTTGTAATAATAATTACCTGCTAACTTATTTGCCATATAAAATTAGATTTGAAATAGATTTTTTTTAAAAGGCAGATCCATATTCACATATATCTTTATTTTAAACTAGAATTATCTCTGGTTGGATATAAATTTTTAAATGAAGGAAATGCTACCAAAAGATAGCTGCTGTATTTAGTTGATTATTTTTCTAGAATTAATAATTGAGTAACATAGGTTAAAACTTATCAAGAACGTAATTAAACATCTTGTTAGTTGGATTAGATTTAAAAATGATTACTGCCATGATTTGTACATTTTATTCTCTTAAATATAATTTCTCCTTTTCTTACTGCTCTAGTTTCCCCCTACATTTGGGAAGATGTGCAAGTTATATTCCATTTAGTCAAAAATAACTACCAGGGAATAGTCATTGTCACAAGTAGGAATTCTGTACTGCAACCACAAGGTAAGATTTTTTTTTTAACTTTTTATAGTAAATTCTGACACTGTAAAGATTTAATTGAGATCCAAATCTTACAAACCTTTGAAAGTTAAAAAAAAAAAAATAGTGTTTCTCATACAGCATCCTTCACATATGCTCAAGTGACAAAGTTTTATTTGTAGTTTCCAACCCAATGTAAATAATATGAAAATACAAAACTGTGACACATATTTGCATATTACTTTTCTTTCAAAAGCTATTAACACATTAGCAATCTTCATTATTGATATTATGAATATAGAATACTTATTTTAACTAGCAGTATTCTAGTAGTTTTATTTGCAGATGCACTTGCAGCCTATATTATCAATCCAGAGTTGTATTAAATATTCCAAGTTGGTGGTGGATTTCTTGGTCCTTTGGGTTTTGAAAAACGATTCGCAAAACCTAGGAACAAAAAGAAATTTGAATGAAAAGAGAAAGTTTTTATATAGAAATGAATACTTGGATTTTAGAGTGTATTTTAATATATGCAAATACATGGATTTTTTTAAAAGGTTACGCAGCATCTTTGATCAATTTAGTAATAGATTATAAAGGCATTATAGTAATTTTAAGCTTAAATGA